AAGCAATTAGAACGCCTCTCCCTACTCATGGCAGCTTAGCTGGCACATGCATGCTCAGAGCCAGCGCGGCTAGAGCGTCAGACTAGGATCTGGGAGACCGGAGTTCAAATCCCCACTGTTTTGTGTCCGCATGGTCAAAGCAATGGTATTCCCAGTAGTCATGTATGGCTACGAGAGTTGGACTATAAGGAAGGCCGAGCGCCGAAGAATAGATTCTTTTGAACTATGGTGCTGGAGAAGACTCTTGAGAGTCCCTTGGACTGCAAGAAGATCAAATCAGTCAATCCTAAAAGAAATCAACCCTGACTGTTCCCTGGAAGGCCAGATAATGAAACTGAAGCTCAAATACTCTGGCCACCAAATGAGAAGGGAGCACTCACTGGAGAAGACCCTGATGCTGGGAAAGATTGAAGGTCAAAGAAGACGGGGACGGCAAAGGATGAGATGGTTGGACAGTGTCATCGACGCAACAAACATGAAATTGAGCCAACTTCAGAGGACAGCGGAAGACCGGAAGGCCTGGCGTGATCTGGTCCATGGGGTCGCGAAGAGTCGGACTCGAATGTGCAACTGAACAACAACAACAATTGTAATGGCACCCTGACCCAGATGGCCCAGGCGGGCCCTGTCTCGTCAGATCTCTGAAGCTAAGCAAGGTTGGCCCTGGTCAATATTTGGATGGGAGACCACCGAGGAATACCAGGGTCGTGATGCAGAGGCAGGCAATGGCAAACCACCTCTGGAACGTCTCTGGCCTTGAACACTCTATGGGGTGGCATACGTTGGTTGCAACTTGGTGGCCAAAACAAAAATGATGGCCTCTGGCCCCACACAGTAAACGCTGCCTATCAGCCCTACAGGAAAGCCCCCTGTTCTGCCATGCAAGCCTGCTGGGCCAGTCAGTCACAGACGGTCACAGGGTCCCCCGTGGGGAGAAAGCCAAAGTATAAAGGAAGCAAATAATGTAAATAATAATTTCTCGATGGATCCCCATTGAAAAATACAACTTTAGGGTCACCTCTGAATGGACGGCTGCTCTGTGCACGATAGTTCCTCTGTGATGGTTGTCTCACACATCCAGACTAACCCTGAAGGCAACAGGCTTCAGATGATGCACGTGTGAAGCAGCCAGTGTTTGACAGAAGATCTGCTTGATCGGAGTGTCACTTGTTTTCAGAGGTCATTTCGGGGGGGAACGCGGGGGAACACAGTTCCCCCGGGTGAGGTACGGGGGGCGGGGCACATGACAAAGCCCCGCCCCCTGCTTCCGGCCGCCCCGCTTCCGGCCCTCATTCAGCCAGGAGGAGGCAGGAGAAGAGGGAGGGGAAGTTGCTTCCTCCCTGCCTCTCCCCACCCCTGCCTGCCTGGGGCCAGGGAGGGTCTTCACGGGGCTTCCTTGCACTCCCGCCGGCCTTGCAGGTCCACCGCCGGGCCCCTGATGTCAGGGGGTGTGGCATATGCTAATGAGTTATGCTAATGAGTTCCCCTAGCTCTTTTTCTACGAGATGACCCCTGCTTGTTTTTAAAATAAGCAGCCTTCCTCCCGGTGTCCCATTTATGAAACAGAAATGTTCTTGGGAATGGTTTTTTCCACCTGCAGTTTTGCAAATCTGCCTATTGCTGGTAAACCACCTCTACGAGACCTTTCTGTACAGGGAACAACCGCCCATGGATTGCAGTCAAACAGATGAGCCAAAAAAAACCCCTTAAGCTAGCACACGTATGAAAAGGAAGTTCCTTTAGGCATTAAGCAACACTTTTGAAAAGGTTTATTAATAGTCTTTTCCTGGTGTGGTACAGAATGACTGTGTAGGCGCATAGTTTGGCGTCGCTGGAAGGAAACAGGTTTGGTTCAGCTGCACCTACGTTTCCTCCTTTGAAATCTTCAGTGACTAATAACATGGGAAGAGGTTTTGTGCCACCATTGTGTGCTGGGTGGCCATCTCCTCCGGGCACAGGGTTGCCAACGTCCAGGTGTGGCCTGGAGTTCTCCCAGAAGGATTGCTGATCTCCAGACTGCAAAGATCAGTTCCCTGGGAGGAGCTGGCAGCTTCGGAGGCTGGACTCCATGGCATTGCATCCCCACTGAGCTCTGTCCCCAGATCTCCTGGAGCTTCCTAAGCCACAGTTGACCCACCCTGCCAGGCGGGTCATGCCATATCCCATGGCAGTTTCTATATCTGCTCATAGATTTATGCACAGGCACAGAAGCAGCAAAATAATGGGTTGCAGAATTTAGCTTCTTTCTCAGGGGTAGGGCAAGTTTCTAGCCCTTATGGTTGTGCGGATGTGCCTGGAAAAGGTTTGGTTGATGCTTGGCGAAAGCTCTGGCAGCACTGGTGGCTGTCGTGGATAAGCCTGGAGTGGCTCTTTCCATCTCCACATGATGCTAAATAAGCAATAGAGCACTGATAGATGATTATATGAGTTGTAGGGTTGCCAACCTCCAGGTGACGTCTGGAGGTCTCCCAGAATGACACCTGGTCTCCAGGTGACAGAGATCAGTTCTCCTGGAGAAAATGGCTGCTTTGGAAGTTGGCCTCTATGGCATTATATCCTCCTGTAGTCCCTCCCCTCCCCAAACCACGTCCTCCCCACGCTCCACCCTCCAAATCTCCAGGAATTTCCCAACCTAGATCTGGCGACCCTAAAACTGGTGCAATTCATACTTGACTCACTGTGCCATCATAAACAGAGTCACTCCCTTCTAAGCCCTTTAACTTTTGTTGTCAAATTGCAACTGATTTATGGTGACCCCAATAGGGCTTTCAAGGCAAGCGATGCCTCTGCATAGCAACCCTTGACTTCCTATAATAGTGTTGGAATGGACTTCCAGGGTCATCTAGACCAACCCCTTGCACAATACAAGAAATTCACTAATACCTCCCCCCGCACACACTCCCAGTGACCCTTGCTCCATGCCCAGAAGATGGCCAACCCCCCCCCAAACACAACCCTCCAGGGTCCCTGACCAAACTGGCCTGCAGAAAAATTGCATGTAAGAAAGGGCCATGAGAACTAAGCACTGATGCCACCCTCCCTTTCCTCCCTTCTTATGATCTGCCTAAGTTCACAGAATCAGCATTGCTGACAGATGGCCATCTAGCCTCTGTTTGAAAACCTCCAAAGAAGGAGAGTCCACCACCTCCCAAGGAAGCCTGTTCCACCGAGGAACTGAAGTTCTTCCTGATGTTTAGCCAAAAACTCTTTTGATTTAATTTCAACCCGTTGGTTCTGGTCCAACCTTCTGGGGCAACAGAAAAGAACTCTCCACCATCCTCTATATGACAGCCCTCCAAGTACCTCTCAGTCATCTCCTCTCCAGGCTAAACATACACAGCTCCTTCAGCCTTTCCTCACAGGACTTGGTCTCCAGACCCCTCACCATCTTCGTTGCCCTCCTCAGGGCACATTCCAGCTTGTCTATATCCTTCTTAAATCGTGGTGCCTGAAACTGAGCACAGTACTCTAGGTGATGTCTAACCAGAGGAGAGTAAAGCGATACCATCACTTTGCATGATCTGGACACTGTACTTCTGTTGATACAGTCCAACACTGCATTTGTCTTTTTAGCTGCCGCATCACACTGCTGACTCATGTTCAGTGTACGGTCTACTAAGACCCCTAGATCCTTTTCACTCATACCAGTGCCAAGACAAGTCTCCCCCATCCTATAATTATGCATTAGATTTTTCCTGCCTAAATGCAGAACTTTACATATATCCCCGTTAAAGTTCATTTTATTTGTTTTAGCTCAGTCCGTGGTGATCTGTCAAGGATGGGCGAGTGGGCGTCAACATGGCAAATGGGGTTCAATGTGGCCAAGTGCAAGGTGATGCACATTCGAGCCAAAAATCCTAAATATAAATACACATTGATGGGGTCTGAACTGGCAGAGACTGATCAAGAGAGGGATCTTGGAGTTGTACTAGATAACTCACTGAAAATGTCGAGACAGTGTGTGACTGCAATAAAGAAGGCCAATGCTATGCTGGGGATTATTAGGAAGGGTATTGAAAACAGATCAGCCAATATAATAATGCCCCTATATAAATCAATGGTGAGACCTCATTTGGAATACTGTGTGCAGTTCTGGGCACCACACCTTAAAAAGGATATTATAGCTTTGGAAAAAGTGCAGAAAAGGGCAACTCGAATGATAAAAGGGTTGGAACACTTTCCCTATGAGGAAAGGTTAAAGCGCTTAGGGCTCTTTGGCTTGGAGAAACGACGACTGAGGGGTGACATGATCGAGGTTTATAAGATTATGCATGGGATAGAGCAGTTAGAGAAAGAGGTACTTTTCTCCCTTTCTCACAATACAAGAACTCGTGGGCACTCAATGAAATTACTGAGCGGTCAGGTTAGAACGGATAAAAGGAAGTACTTCTTCACCTAAAGAGTGATTAACACATGGAATTCACTGCCACAGGAAGTGGTGGCAGCTACAAGCATGGACGGCTTCAAAGGGGAATTAGATAAGCATATAAAGCAGAGGTCCATCGATGGCTATTAGTCACAAGGTATAGATAGGGGCTCTGGGGCAAGTGATGCTCTGTCTTCTTGGTGCTTAGGGGGGGTGTCAACAGTGGGAGGGCTTCTAATGTCCTGGCCCCACTGATGGACCTCCTGATGGCACCTGGTATTTCTGGTCACTGTGTGACAGAGTGTTGGAGTGGATGGGCCTTTGGCCTGATCCAACATTGGCGTCTCTTATGTTCTTATCCAAATACTGACCAGGGCTGACTCTGCTTAGCTTCTGAGGTATGACAAGATTGGGCTATCCTGGGCTATCCAGGTCAGGGCAGAACCTTAACTTGTTTTATGTGATCTTGATAAGAGCATGCACATCCCTGGTTTTGGAGGGCATATGATACCAAGGGCTCCAAACGTTTGGGGACCCACCATAAGATGTTCTCCATTTTCCAATGGAAGATCAAGACAGAAAGGCAATAAATACACCCCTATGGAGTGAGAAGTGGACCAGAGCTCTGACTTACCAATGTAAAACAGGTATGTCCATCGGACAAAGGCCATGATGAAGATGCCCGCCGCGAAGGACAGGATCCCTATCATGATCATCGTGGTGTCTCTTAAGAACCTGGAGAACACAAAGACACCCAGGAAGCTGGTGATAAAGATCACGTAGCCAGCTGCATAGGAATACCCAATATATTCCGGTCCCCAGCTGAGGGGCTCTTTAAGCAAAAAGAGTGGCAGCACATCTATGGCTCCTGCCACGGCTAAGTCGTACATGACGGCCCCCACAAAGAGCATGGCAATGATGAGTTTGGAAGGGATGACAGTGGGTCGATGCTCAGTTCTTTGTAAGACCGAATCTCCTTCGTCGCCAGCCAGCTTGCCGTCGGGATGCTCTGTGCTTGTGGAAGTGGCTGGGCAAGAGACAACGGGCTTGGGGACTTTAAGAACAAACAGACTGTAGAAAAGACAAAAAGCATATAAGGCAATGCTGGAGGAAACCAGCACCGTGCCCTGCTGGTAACCAAGGTGGAAAGTGATAAAGAGATGACCGGATGCTACGCTCCCCAGGAAGCCAGCTATGCCATAGATGAGCTCGATAACAATGAGGCGCAGTGATCTCCTTCTCTCCGACGACCCCAGAGATGCCACAGCCATGACGCTGGCCCAGTAAGTGGTGAACCCCCCGCTCAGACCGTGTAAGACAGCTGCCCCGTACATCACCTCGATCGGCCACAGCAGCAGGATCGATAGGAGCAGGAAGGTCCGGGAGAGCAAATAGCCCACGAGGGGTATGCAGATGGAGATCTTCCTGTTCTTCACATCACCCAGCCTGGCCAGGCCATAAGCCGACAGCAGCGGGGTCAGGCCTTGGAGGAGGTTGTAGATGATGTAGAAGTTGGAGATGGCTTTCTGCTGAGCGCCTTCGCTGGCCTTCACAAAGGAAGCATTTGTGTGGTTGTAGTAATTCTTCACAACCAGCAGCAGGCCGGTGTCGTAGAAAGAGCTGGCCAGCTGAGCTGCAGCGACCACGGGCTCTATCCAGGTCCTCATCTCCATCGCACCGGTTTCTTGGTGTTTGTTCAGCCTCTTGTTAAGGACAGGAGGAAAGGCAGGAGTCAAGCCAGGGTTTTTATTTCAGGCATAAAAATCTAGACAGGCTGCCTTCGACAGAGGAGAGAGGTGTTCTCTGCTGTGTGGATCTCTGCTCCTTTTGAACAAGTGAAGTGGCATTCCCTGGATCTCTCTGTCTCCTTGTCAATCTCAGATTGCTTTTCTGTGCCTGAAGGCACGCCTACATGTTGTGACTCTTCCTGGTTTGCCTTTAAGAAGTCACATGGCCCTGCCTGGAGGGGATTTCTCAATGTCAGTTTTCGGAATTGAAAGTAGTTTGGTCAGTTTTTCTCCAAACAGATGGGTACCAAAGCAAGAGGGTTCTCCAGGGAAGCATGCCCTGGGTTGTGTGGCTGAGATGAGGCTGCGTGGGACAAGAATGAACGGGAGCAGAGAAGAACTAGCCTATGCAGTTTTGAGGCTGCGACTCATGCCTGCATGTGAGGACAAGAGGTCAAAGAAAGGGAGGAAATGCCAGCTCCAGGAGGCGAGGACAGGCAAGCTTTGTGTCTGTGTGAGGGGGTAAAAGGGGGAGGGACAGAGTGATGAATACAGAGAGCCATTTCTGGAGTAACAGCCCAGAGACAGCTGTTAATCAAACAAACAAAAAAGCTTGTTGCAGAGGTTCCCTCAGCAACTAGTGGTCGTCACAGCTTTGCAGCAGAAATGACAGCTAGGCAGTGAATTGAGCACTTTGTGTGTTTGTATAAACTGGCGTCAAGTCTTAGGGCAACCCCGAACGGTGTTTTCAAGGCAAGAGATGTTCAGAGGTGGTTTGCCATGGCCGGTCTCCGTGTAGTGACTCTGGTATAGGGTTGCCAGCCTCCAGGTGGGGCCTGGGGAATCTCCCGCTTTTACCACTGATCTCCAGCTGACAGAGATCAGCTCCCCTGGAGAAAATGGCCACTTGAAGGGTGGACTCTATGACATTGTGCCATGCTGAGGCCCCTCCCCTCCCCAAACCCCGCCTTCTCCTGGATCCACCCCCAAAGTCTCCAGGTATTTTCCAACACAGACTTGCCAACCCTAAGTCTGGACTTCCTTTATGCACGCTCATCCAAATACTGCCCAGGGCCAACCCTGCTTAGCCCCTGAGATGTGACCAGATAGGGCTCGGCTGGGCCATCTGGGGCAGGGCAAGCCAAGCACTCGCTCGGCCAAAACAACAGCCGAGCCTCCCGGCAAATCAAAATATTAAGTCCGCCCCGCTGCCCCCCACCGTGTTTCAAGCCTGTAATCTTTAAAATTTTTAAAAGTATGCTATGTACATTTATCTGTTCAGTTGTCCATTCATCACCTTATTCATAATAAGGAAGGAAAGTATTTTTAAAACCGCAAACTTACTCCAGGGTTTAGGGAAGGAACTCAATTTCAGAGCGGTACCAAATATTTGCACTGAGTGCTGGAAGATGCTTCGAAAGTAACCCCCCTCACTGCACATAAAATATTATTTATTTATTTATTTTATTTATTATTCAATTTATACCCCGCCCTCCCCAACGGGCTCAGGGCGGCCACAACAGAGGCAATTGCCATAACAACGATTAAAACAACATTAAAACAATCATTAAACAGTATAAAACAGTCATTAAGTAAAGTGCGGTGCTCTTGATGTTACATTTTCTTAATCCAAGACGAGTTCCATTCATCAACCTAACCTGACAACAAACATGCTTCGGTTAACCTCCAGATCTAATCCACCGTAGAAGATGGCAACTCGGTGGTGGTACAGTGACGGTGGCGGCTCCTATGCAAAGGCCTGGCGGAAGAGCTCTGTCTTGCAGGCCCTGCGGAACTGCGCCAGGTCCCGCAGGGCCCGAACCTGCTCTGGGAGCTCATTCCACCAGACAGGAGCCGCCGCCGAGAAAGCCCTGGCCCTGGTTGCAGCCAGCTTGATGTCCTTGGGGCCGGGAACCACCAATAGGTGCTGCGACCCCGACCGTAGAGTTCTTGGGGGAACATATGGAGAAAGGCGGTCCCTTAGGTACGCTGGACCCTGGCCATCAGCCCTGTTCACAAGCTAGTGAATGTACATACAATCTATGATTATTTTTTTTAAAAAAAATACATGCATTGAGTAATTCTCATGTTACACACAACACATTTCAACCCCACATTTATCCAGGTCCTGTCCCTTGGTTTCATTTGTAGATTTGTATATTTATAAATAGATGCACTCACATATGTACAGGATGTATGCGCAGGTTTGCCAGCTCCTATTGGGAACTACCTGGAGATTCTGGGGGCGGAGGCTGAGGAGGGTGGGGTTTGGGAGGGGAGGGACTTCAACGGGGCATAATGCCACAGAGTCTGCCTTCCAAAGTGGCCATTTTCTCCAGGTGAACTGGTCTTCGTTGCCTGGAGATCAGCTGTAATCCCAGGAGATCTCCAGCCACCACCTGGAAATTGGCAACCCTATGTATGCGTGTTCACCGCAACCTGTGAACGGGGCTTCTTCATTCACAATGCAGTGTACGCATAAGCATTTGACAAGCCAAATCTGTAAAATCTGGTCAGTTAGTCGACTTTTATCACTGTCTAGATTCCAGCAATATCTCATGCAAATGGGTGGCAGTTGGCTGGATTTGCCAAGCAATGGTAACATAATTTAAACTACGAGCCAACACTTGGCTGTCTGTATTGACCCAGGGATAAAGGGAGGGGCAGGCTGGAACTGTATCTGTGAGAGCGTGAGTCACCTAGAGAGCTCTGTGCATTGCAAAACCTGTGTCCTTGCTGAATTCCTCTGTGGTGTAAGGGAATTGTAGACCTGCCCCTATCAGATATGTTTTCCAGCCCCCAGGCTTTGAACTGAATCTGTTTACTGTGGTGGGAAAGCAGGGAGATTGTGGCAGGAATACACATGGTCAGAAATCCCACCAATTCCAGTTTCCATTTCCCCCCTTTAACTTGGGATCAGAATTTGCCTTTAGAGTTGCCACCTCTGTATTGAGAAATCCCTGGAGATTTGGAGATAGAGCCTCAGGAGGGTGGGATTCATGAAGGGGAGGGGCCTCATCCCTTCCTCTCCCCACAGCAGGCACCCTGTGAGGCTGAGAGAGCTCCGAGAGAACTGTGACCGTCCCAAGGTCACCCAGTAGGCCTAATGTGGAGGAGTGGCGATGGAGAATCAAACCTAGCTCTCCTGATTAGAGCCTGCCATTCTTAACCAGTACACCATGCTGGCTCTCACTGCTAATGTTATCATGATGTTCAATTGCTGATTTATTTATTTTTTAAATGAAAAGGCCTCAGCGGTGTGAGGGGTGGCGGCTACCGCCTGGTTATGGAGGGAGGGAAACTGGAGGGATGAGAATTGCTCGCATGACAAATTAATCTAATGGGGACAGAGCTTAAACAGGCTTAAGATATTTAAAAATCGCAACCAATATATTACTCCCTGGACTGACCGCCTACAGACCATTTCTGAGCAGCAGAGACTAAAGAGTTTACTATCAGGCAAGATTTTAAAAATGCACATGTGATCTAGCCATATTTATCTATGCAGTTACAAATTGTCTATAACAGTGATGGCGAACCTTTTAGAGACCGAGTGCCCAAACTGCGACCCAAAACCCACTTATTGATCGCAAAGTGCCAACATGGCAATTTAACCTGAATACTGAGGTTTTACTTTAGAAAAAAACACTCAAACATTAACTTAAGATGATCCAAACAAAGCAAGGAAAGCAATTCCAAATGCTTTCATTTACTTAAAATTATTTGGCAGAGAATTCCACACTTTAATGATGGTCTGGGCCTGGGTGGGGCGATGGCACGTGTGCCCACAGAGAGGGCTCTGAGTGCCACCTCTGGCACCCGTGCAATAGGTTTGCCGCCACTGGTCTATAAAATGCTTTGACGAATGGCTTGTAGGCTGTTAAGTTACAGGGAAAGAAAAAATCCAAGGACCCCAGTGGGGAAAAATATTTTCAAAGGAGCACCATTAAAAAATTAAATGACAAAAAGAGCCAGAGCTGAATATCAATTTGATTCTTGAACACAAAAGCTGATCTCAAGCAAAGGTTTAAATCAGAGGTCAAATGTAAAGGCTCTGGCAGTGTTTGGGGAGATTCGAATGCAAAGCTGACAAAGAGGCAGTCATTCAACCTTATTTATGGCTTCCTATTTAAAACAGGGAGGCTCAACATTCTCTACTAAATCAAGACCATATTCAATTAACATATCAGTTATTTGTAAATTAGGCTTATGCACTTTAAACACATTATGCCAACGCTCTACGCTTGCAAAGCTTTTCTTATTTTGCAACATTTATGCTGCAGTTTTTAATCTTTCGATCATTTTGGTTTGACCTGTCGTGGTAATGAGGAAGGAATTATGCAGTGCATCAAAGCCAATACTAATGAGATTTCGTCAAGCACATGTCCACCTTCAGAGTTATAAAGCCTAGAAATATGGAGTGTTTTTTCTAATGACAGATGAGTTTCTCAGGAAGTTAAATTTCCTGCACTCTCTTGCAGCTGTGGCATACACCATCCTTGTTATTTGATCACAAGAACTGTTAGTATTTCAGGCAATATTTCACATACCTTTATTAGGAAAGGAATTATGTTCTACCCAATGTTCTGTAAAATAAGTTGAGAGAGTGTAGCAGCCGGCACACCATTCCTAAGCGCTTGCAATGGCCCTTCTTCAGGCATTGTTGCCTGCCTGCAAAAGTGGACTTCCCATAAAACAGTAGATGCTAGAAAGTGCATGCGATCTAGATCAGCTGGCTGCACTACAGAATCTTTTATGTGGTGTCTCCCAGAGAAGAGCTTTGGCGGTGCAAGCCCAGTAGGACATTTCAGTGTGATTTGCACTAATCACTCACTTTTAGGATCAGAGTCATTATTTACTAGCAAGCCCATTCTCTCTCTGAGACAAAAGGATCTCCCACCAATGTCCAAGTAGATTTTGCTCATTTATCACAGCCTGGCCCAGGACAATCTTTCAAATGATACAGTGATCAGGAGGGCTATGGGGACATCCCCTGCACGCCACTGGACTTTCTGACTGGACTTTCCAGCAGCCTGGCTTCTTGCATTTCTCTATTCTTTTTATGCTTCCTGGGAAAATGGGTTCTTTAGTTAAATCTGTAGCTCTTCGGAGACCTGA